TCTTTCATCATTCATGTTTTCACTGGACTAGCACTTCTAATTTCCTTCCAAGTTTTTTCCTTGCACTAAAATCTGTCTTTGTATTTACATCCTGACTCCAGACTCCCTTTTCCAAATCTAGATAAGCACAGTGACCATTCAGCATAACCAAGATCCCTTTCTCACTGTTGCCTCTCTCCTGACTTATCTGCTGCCCTTATTTAAAAAAACAAAACAAAACAAAAAAAACAAAACAAAAAAACAAGCAAAACAAACAAAAAATACCTTACTCGAGGAATTAGGTAGGAAAGGAATGACGGATCACTTTGGAGTTTGGGCTTAAAAACACACACAAAAAGAAAAAAGTTAAAATGTACTTGTTTTCTCTACAGCGGCTAAGAATATTGCTCTACAGTATAAATTTTAATGTCATGTGTCTGTGTGAATGTAGTTTGGGTTTGAATAGCATTGAATGTGAGTGACTCCACAAGTACCTTCAAGTGCAGCCCCTCAGTTTAAAGAAGAAAGCGGGGGAAAATATTCCACAAAGCTTTCAGTTCCTTGAGTGCTTCCTTTTCCTAATGAGCATGGTTCTAAGAGCTGGAGATGAGCCTGCTTTGGAAACAGCCCCTCTTTCCCCGTGTTGATTCTTAGGGCACCCCTTCATCCACTCCATACCCAATGGTCTCATTCCCAAGTGATGATAAGTTAGCTAGAATTTAACACTTTTCTGTAACTTTAAACTTAGATTAGGCTTTGTTATAAATTTTTACACCGTTCTTCTGTTAAAAATGCAGAATTGGGCTTTTTATAAAAAAATTATTGGATCAGATAAGCCCTTCCCTTTCCACTTGTCTCTGGGCAATGTGAGCTGATGGTTCTTAAGATGTTGAGTTTTGTTTAGTATCCACTGCTCTTTAGCCAGGAATTCTCTGGTAATCTGAAGCAATGTGGCTGAAGACCAATTTTTAAATTATGTGTTGACAAGTTGCCTTATATTTTAAAAGGAGAAAAATTACTTGATTTATATTATGCCAGGTGACAGCAACATGAAGTCCTAATTTATTGTTCTTGGTTCTTTTCCCACCTAATGTGAACTCCCGTGTACCTGAGCCCTCAGGAATGCCTACAGCTTCTGGTGCGATGTCTTCTCCCAAAGTGTTGGCCACCATTTCACCCAAGACCCTCTTTCAATCCTTGCTTTTCTGAATCAGATTTAGAGAGCACCACTGTCTCCCCTTATCCCTTACTTGATCTCCAAACCAGATATTCTTGCTATACTTTTCTTTTCAGTACCTCTGCCTGAATGGTGAGCTGCCATTTTAGGAAATTGGGTCAGATACCAATTTGGGAGCTTTTAAGTCAAAAACCTCTAACCCATTTCTTCCTGTGAAGGGGTGCAAGTCTCTGAAGCTCTCACTCACACCTGTAGTCTGTGTAGAAAATGTACTGTCATCCCCCTGGCCCCGAACTGCCATTGCCTTTGGTGTGAGATGTTCCCTATTTCCTAGTTCAACTTGAGTCCATCTCTCCTCTGCTAGCCAACCCCCATCCAGCAATAAGGATCCAAGCCACAGCCTCCTATTCACACTCCCTGCCTTCATTCCACACTACCCTAGGGAATACCGGGATTCCCCACTCTGTCCACATACTGTAGCATTCATTCCCTATCTCTCTTATCCTCTTACCTGTGGTGGTTTATGGGTGTGATAGAGTTTTTAAGATTATTATAAACTAGTAAAAAGAAAAAAAAAACAGAGAGAGAGAAAGATCTATTCAGGGTATCTGTACATTTGATAAACAGCAAAGTTATTCTAGTCTTTGTATACTGGCTTTGTCTGGAAAAACCCTTTCCCAGTCATCCAGCAATTCTTGGCAGGGTTTCTGTTGTGGTCTTCAGGTGAACTGATTGCTGAAGTCTTCAGGCAGCCTAGCCTGGCGCTTGTGTCAGCAGGTGGTAGGCCTGGTTCCTGGGTCTGTAGAGTTGGGCCTAAATCCTGGATCCACTGGGGTGGATATTTTCACTGGGTATGCAGGCATGAACATAAAGCCCATGTCTACAAGGCAGGCGTAGAGCCTGTACCAATAGGGGCTGGACTGAAGTGTGGGTCCACAGGGGCTGACATGGCTCTGATGTGGGCATGGAGCCTCTGTCTGCAGGCACTGGCTAGGTTCTGGAACGGGCCTAGTGTCTGGGTCTACTGGGATAAACATGGAATCTGAGTCCATGGGGACTGGCCTGGTACTGGTGCAGGATTAGAGCCTGAATATGGAGAAATGGACCTAGGATCTTGGTAGATGGAGGCTTACCTAGAGCCTGAGTCTTCAAAGATGGTCCTAGAGCCTTGGTCCATGATGTCCAGCCTAGCATCAGTGAGAGGTGACAATGTGCTAGCAGCCCTCACTCCCAGCGCCTCCTCAGCCTCCGGCCTCGGCATCCACTCTGGCAGCGCTTGAGGAGCCCTTCAGCCCGCCAGAGCCCCTCTCTGGACTGGCTGAGGCCAGAGCCTCCTCCCTCTGCTTGCGGGGAAGTGTGGAAGGAGAGGGGCGGATGGGAACCGGGGCTGCACTCTGGGGCCAGCGTGAGTTCCGATGGGGGGCGAGCTGGGGCTCGGTGGGCCCCGCACACGGAGTGGCCAGCCAGCGCTGCCGGCCCAGGGTAGTGAGGGGCTTAGCACCCAGGCCAGCAGCTGCGGAGGTTGCCCCGGCCCCAGCAGTGCCCACCAGCCGGGGCTGCACTCAAATTCTCACGGGGCCTTAGCTGCCTCCCCGCAGGGCACGGCTTGGGACCTGCAGCCCGCCATGTCCGAGCTCCCCGCCCTGTGGTGGGCTCCTGAGCAGCCTCAGCCTCCCGGACAGGGCGCCACCCCCTGCTCCATGGCGCCTGGTCCCATGGACAGCCCAAGGGCTGAGGAGTGCAGACACGGCTTGGGACTAGCAGGCAACTCTGCCTGCAGCCCCGCTGCAGGATCCACTGGGTGAAGGCAGCTGGGCTCCTGAACTGGATGGGGACTTGGAGAACTTTTATGTCTAGCTGGAGGATTGTATGTGCACCAATCAGCACTCTGTATCTAGCTAACCTAGTGGGTACTTGGAAAACTTTTATGTCTAGCTCAAGGATTGTAAATGCACCAATCAGCACTCTGTCAAAACAGACCAATAAGCTCTCTGTAAAGCGGACCAATCAGCTCTCTGTAAAATGGACCAATCAGCAGGATGTGGGTGGGACCAGATAAGGGAATAAAAGCAGACTGCCTGAACCAGCCAGCGGCAACCCTAGGGTCCCGTTACGCACCGTGGGAGTGTTGTTCTTTTGCTCTTTGCCGTAAATCTTGCTGCTGGTCATTATTTGGGTCCACGCTGCCTTTATGAGCTGTAACACTCACCAGGAAGATCTGCAGCTTCACTCCTGAAGCCAGCAAGACCACTAACCCACCGGGGAGAACAAACAACTCCAGACGCGCTGCCTTTAAGGGGTGTAACACTCACCATGAAGGTCTGCAGCTTCACTCCTGACAGCAAGACCACAAACGCACCAGAAGGAAGAAACTCCAGACACATCTGAACGTCTGAAGGAACAAACTCCAGACACTCCATCCTTAAGAACTGTAACGCTCACTGTGAGAGTCCGTGGCTTCATTCTTGAAGTCGGTGAGACCAAGAGCCCAACAATTCCGGATACATCAGGATCTACTGAACTCAGCCTGTACACTGGGTTTGCACAGCTGGGCCCTGAGCTTTTTGGATCCTGGGACACAAAAACCAGCTTGAAGCCTGAAGCTGGCCTAGGACTGGGGTAGGGTGGGGCCAGTGTAGAGCCTGAGACCACGATTTTGAACCACAGACTAGATACTTCAGAGAAGTGGACTTGGCGAATCCCCTGCTGGAGTCCTGCAGAGTAACCACTCTGTCAGATGGCATGTGTTTCTGGGAGGAAAGCATAGGGGTCTAGTTCCAGCCTTACCCCATTGCATCCCATAGGCACAGGCTGACTTTTAGAGACACTCCAGAGCTGGTCTGAAAGGCTGATGCAAAGAAGTCGCCTTGGGAACTGAAGTGGTCGAAGAAGCTCAACAAGCTCAGCAAACCCTACATATGGGAGAGGAGCCCACAGATGGTAGAGGAAGCTATTCTCCTGGCCAAAGTCCTGATACAGAGTTTGTCAGAAACATAGGCGGACTGGAGGCAGATTGCAGCTAGCACTGGCGCTGGAATTGAAACCTCCCTTGTAGTCCCATAGATAGATTTTTGTATAAACATAGAAATTGGCCCTCTGGTCTTAAAGCTTGAAACTTTCATTTGTTTTATATTAATTTCATTCTTAGTAAAGGACCCCTAGGTACCTCAAAAAGTATCAAAGAACTGAAACTCACCAGATGAGCCCATCCACACAATGGACCCCAGGCTTCTCATAAATCATGATTGCTTCCTTAGGTCTACTGAGTTCCTGTTTTTCTGCACATTGTTACATTTCTTCCCTGCTATGTAAACTCATAATTTAGTTGGTCAGGCAGATGGATTTGAGACTGAGCTTGCATCTCCTATGCTACAGCATCCAATTCGGCCTTCCTCCTTGGCAATAATTGATGATATTGATTGGTTTTCTGTGCAGTGAACAGCAGGACCTAGACCACACCCCTGGTGTTTAGTAATGGATTTTTGTTCCCCGACCCGGAACCCTTTGGATTGGCAGCCATGGGCCTGGAGTCCCAAAGCCCTCCTAAGCAGCTGCTTACCCAATTTTGACTGGAGATGAGTTCTCTCTCTTTGGGGCCAGCCGCAGCTGGCCTCAACCATGTTCTTGATTACCTTGGAAGAACTACTTTTGAAATTTGACATCTGCATCCAGATAGGTGACTGTCTTTTGTGGACCCAGAAAGAAGGATCTGCTTCTCTCAATTTGGGAAATTTTTAAAGGAATTTCCATTTGCAGGTTGAACAAGCCCAACTGATGAAAAGAGGGAAGTACCCTGATTATTCCAGTATGGACACTCCTGGGAGCTTGTTTGTCATTGTGTGTGTGTCCAGGCAATTGAGTATCTTTTGTGGTTACCAGAGAGTGGGATCAGCTCCTCTCCTTTGGAGAAATTCTGAAGGAATTTTCATTTGCAGATTGATTGAACCCAACCAATGGAGAGAGGAATCACCCCAACTCGTTCAGTTTGTAGACTTTTGGGGCTTGTTTGATCCTGCAGCAGTTGGATTGTTTTAGTGACTGTTTGCATGTGTCTGATGTAGTCATGGGAAATTAGAATTTAATAAACTGACACTCTTTTATAACACTGTTTGACCCCAGTATAGTTTGGAATCTGGTATTTGCTCTTGAGTGGGAAAGTGGGTTGGATTTCCATGTATCCAGGCTTTTGTGCTGCTGTTGGGCCAAGTTAATATGTGATGTTCTCCTGTGGTGCTGTTTGACCCCAGTGTTCTTTGGAGTCTGGAGAGGTTTGGACTTTAAAAATTAAACTGCCACGGAAACTGTTTTACCGAAAATTTTGGTTCACAGCCTTCACTGGATTATTGATCAAGGCTAACAAAGTTCAGCCATGTGAAGTTTGCAGACTGGTGAGTTTGTATTTCAATAGCTAGACTTCCAAGGTAAACGCTATTGGATCTTTTTGTGTATGTATGTCTAGATGTGTTTATGTGTAGGCATTTGTATTACTTTAAATGTTGTGACTATCCAATTGTCTTATAAATAAAAGAATGCTCATAGATAAAGTAAATAAGTCCAAAGTATTTTTCATGTTCATGTTAAGTAAATCTTTAGCAAGCTAGTATTAAAATCTTGTAAAATAAAAATAGAAATGTCATCATAATTGTCAGCATACATTTTCGTCTGGGTTTTACATTTGTCTCTGCTAGGTATTTTCAGGTATCAGAGTTTGACACAGAAGTTTATAAAATTGTAACCGGAGTTTGAGATGAACCTGGGAAACAAAGACCCGCTCCCCCCATCTCTATAAAATAAAAATAAAAAATTAACCAAGCACAGTGATTCATACTTGTAGTCCCAGCTATGCAAGAGACTGAGGTTGGAGGATTGCTTGAGCCTGAAAGATCAAGGCTGCAGTGCGTCTTGATCCTGCCACTGCACTCCAACCTAGGTGAAAGAGCGAGACCCTTCAAAAAAACAAATAGAGACAGAGAATAACAATGGGGCACATAAACATTGCAGAGTGACTAGGGGAGGAGTTGTAATTTTTAATAGGATGGCCAAAGGAGGCCTTATTGAGCAGGTGGCTTTTAGGTGGAGACTTAAAAAAGGTATTAGAGTCTTCTATACGTCTAGTGAGAAAACAGAATACAGGCAGAAGAAAAAGGACAGCCAAGTGCCTGAAGCAGAGAGGCCAAAAGAGTGAGGTCTAGGACCTGACTGGACAGATATCCGGGAGGTAACTGGACTCTAACTTAGAGAACTGTTATAAGCAATTTGTATCTCTTTCTCTAAATGAGATTGAGAGTTACTGCAGGAGTTGCACAAAGGAATGACAAAATCTGGCTTTTGTTTTAAAAGGGGCATCCAGGTTTGTTATTGATGGAAGACTAAAGACATTCTCCATCCAGAAAAGACTGCTAAGAACTGTGAAGCATATAAAAGTTAACCCTACTTGGGGCAAAGTTTCATGAATGCTGGCAGATGACACAAGCTTCTTAGGTCAAAGACAGGGTTTTATGACTCACTCAACAGGGAGAATGATTTTTGTGTTTGTGTCAGTCATCCTTGCTCCACAAGTCCTGCACAGGAAATACAGAAAGGCAGTTTAATGTTGCAAATGCAACAGATGTGTGTTGCGGCCAAGCAACCCTGAATTTAGGGAACCTGGATGTTTTATAATGAACTGCAAGCAAACCTGTCTGAACTTTGCTCCAGAGGGAGACATTATCTTTCTTATCCTCATCAGTAAGCAGACCTGCCCTCTGCTTCAGAAGAAAGCAATATATCTAGCTTCCAAGATGTCGTCTTTACAAACATCCTTGAAAAGATAGGAGTGAAGGCTATCGATGTCTCTGCTCATAAGACATACAGAAATGTGAGAGGTCATGAAGAATTTTCTCCCAACCAGAATTAGCAGGATGTCATAATGAATTGGATGTACAGTGGGAGCAGAAAAGATACTTAAGAATAACTCCAAAAAGTTTTATTTGAACAGGGGAAAAAATGGAGTTGCCATCAACTAAGTTGAGAAGGACTACAGGTGAAGTAGGCTGGGTGGAGAGGGTGGATAAGGAGTTCGATCTGAGACATAATGAGTCTGAGATGGCTATTGGATGGAATCCAAGAAATGTCAAACAGGCCATTAGATACATATGTCTTGAGTTTGGAAAAAAGTTTGAGTAATAATTTAAATGTATTAGTCATTGGCAGGTACATTTATTTTAGAGCCATGAGACCAGATGGGATCACCAGGAACTTTGAAGTGATCCAAAATTAAGAAATTGGGGAGAATATAAGGGTCCACCGAGGAGACTGAGAAGAAGTAACCTTTAGTAAAGTTAAAGGAAAACCGAGAGTGTGTTGTCTTGGAAACCAAGTGACAGAAGTTCATTAAAGGATGATCTATTAAGATGAGAAGCAATAATTGACCATTGGATTTAATAACATAGAGATCACTGACGGCATTAAAAAGTGTTTCAGTAGAATGGTAGCAGCAAAAACCCAATTACATAAGATTAGGAGGGGGATTAGAGATAGCATGTGTAGATAATCCTTTCAATAAATTTTGCCACAAAGTGTTAAAACAAACTAATTATGGCCTGAGAAGGACTCTGTACTTCTACATTTGAGTCCTGTGGGTGAACTGTTACTTACTTTAATAGTCAGACAAAATTGAAAACCTTATTTAGTAGTGTGCACCTGTAACAATACTTGAGTGTTGGCCAATCCCAGCAGCCATACTTCAATCACTCATAGACTGCTGAATGTTCAAACTGTGTTCAAATAAGGCAAACCCCCAGTTGTAACCAATCTCACTGTTTCTGTACCTCATTTCCGGTTCTTGTACTTCACTTTACCTTTTTTTGTCTATAAATTCGTTTTGACCACGAGGCACCCCCGGAGCCTCTGTGAATCTGTTGTGATTCTGAAGGCTACCGGATTCACAGATTGTTTATTGCTTAATTAAACTCCTTTAAATTTAATTCAGCTGAAGTTTTTATTTTATCAGATGGTGTCAGAAGCAGGATCTGAAGTGGAGCCTCTAGTATCCCCAGGAGCACTAAGTGAACACAAAAAGTACCTGCAGGATCCAATTGCGTCCACTGATCTCTCAGAGAGACTGAGGATAATACGTAAGCTCCCTCTCGCATTTTGGAGGTTCACGCATTTGTGTTTTGAGCTCTTTGAGTTGCTTGGAGCAAATTTCTGATCCAAACTGGGTTTGGAGTCATAACAGGAAATAGACTGGGTCTGGGAACAGATTTGATCTTGGAATTGATGGACTTGGATCCAGTTAGAGGCCTGTTACATCTCACTGCGTCAGAAAGGAACTGATATTAAGCAGTAACGTTGCAGGAGTTATAAAATTTGGCTTTTGAAAATTCACAGGGATATTTGTGTTCTACCCCTTTCTTTCTTTCTCTTTCTTTCTTTCTTTCTTTCTTTCTTTCTTTCTTTCTTTCTTTCTTTCTTTCTTTCTTTCTTTCTTTCTTTCTTTCTTTTTTTCTTTTGTGCGCCTAGGTAGGAAAAAATTCATTGGCTTATCAAGAGAACCAAAGAGTAAAGCCAATATTTTAGGTAAAAATTGGATCCTTAATTTCTGGAAAACTGAGTTCCTTCTGGCTTATACATTAGGACTGGGAGGCAGCTAAGTCTTACAGAAATGGCAAAATGTTACTAAAGATAACTTAGAGTGGAACATTCCAACTGAACGGCAATGCCAATGCATTTAAACAATGCCAAGTACATTTAAAAATGAGAGCTCTCAGGAAAGTACCTTTTGACTAAAAACAGTTTTGGCACTATGGGATGTCAACTGCTATTCTCTTTGGAATAATCTGCCTTGCACTCTTTGTTGACCGCTGTGGGTGACAGGATGAGGCATGTACAGAATCGTGGGACCTGGGGAGCTTTTTCCTTCTCCCTACAAAAAAAGACACTTGATAGCTGATGGGACTGTGGGGAAAAAAGACAAAAATATATAGCGTTTATTCTGTTTCCATAATTCTCATCTTTAACTATGGTTCAAGTGCCTTCCATGTTTTTTTCAATCTAGCCTAAAAATAAAAACATGTCAATGGTAGAAAATAAAATTCTTAAGTAAGAAATAAATCACACATACTTTCATCACCCAAAAACAATTTTCATGTTTATTTATTCCCTTCAAGTCCTTGTCCACATGCAAACATAATTTGGGTACATATGTAAAAGTTATATATTTTGATTTTTTTTACCCATTATTCATTATAATTGCTTTTTTATAGTCTTCACAGTGACCACTGACTGTGTGCTACTCATATTTACTAACTGTCATTCACAAATTTATAATTTCTCTTTAGTGGACATTAAACTTATTTTTGTATATTATGAAAAATTATTTTAGTTAAGGAATGAAATTCTGATACATAATACAACATAGGTGAACCTTGAAAACATTATGCTAAGTGAAATAAGCCAGACCCAGATGGACCAATATCATAGGATACATAGGAGCCAGGGACTAGGGAGACAGGGAATGAGTAATTGTGGTTTAATGGGTATAGTTGCCATTTAGGATGACAAAAACGTTCTAGAAATGGATAAGCATTATGAATGTACATAATGCTGCTGCATTCTATGCTTAAAAATGGTTAAATGGTTAAGTTCTGTGTTATGTGTACTTTACAACAATTTTTTAAAGAAGGTGGGGAGGGGTCTCTCCAGGTTTTTAGCAGCTTCCTGATTTAGAAAAGAAATGTTAATGGTAGGAATACAGGTAGAGAACACTTTTATTTGGGTAGATGTTAGAAGCTGAGGCCAGCTTGGGGTCATAAGAGCAATATTAAGTATGAGGTGGAGGAGGCCCTCAACTAAGGTCATTGCAAGGGGATGGAGCAGGGAATGGATAGGAGAGGTATTTTGGACAAAGATGTGGCAGCTGATAGGTGTGGGGATTGTTCTCATGTATCAGCCCAGGCTATAGTGTTCCCGGGGCAAACGGAACACAAGTTTTTTTTTTTTTGCGGGGAGTGATATAGCATGGTAGATCTTGAGTTAAAACTTTAAAATCTTGACCAAAAGCTCAAAGGAGAACACAATAGTGAAACACATAGGTATGGGCAATTTTAGTTAAATCAGGTGAGAAACGGAGCAAAGAAATCGCTAGGAGATGGAAAAAAACACCAGTGTTTTTTGACAGCTACAAGAACAGCAGAGTCAGACAGGGGATAGGCTTATGCCAGAGATCCAGTTTTATTTACTAAAAGTTCCTTGAGTATTCAAACATTCCGAAATTCTGAGATCTTGCACAAGGATGCCTTTGTTTAAACATTGCTTCATCTAGCTACAGAACATAGTTTAACTTTGAGGCCTTTGACCCCAGACAAGACAAAATATGTTCCACCTTGCCTATTACTTAACACATATTTGTTAACTATTTAACCTTCATGGATAAAAAATTTCAAACATGTGTATTAACTAATTTGCAAATGATTGTTTCAAATATCTGATCCATGGGTTTCTTCTCTTACATTCATTAAGCTTGTCATAAGTTCTTTACATTTTTAATTATTGTTATATTATTTGATATAATTGCTGAATCTCTATGTGACATGTTGATTAATATAAAGTCAATTAAAAAAACCAACATGTTAAATATTGTTCTTACTTTATTCCAGGTATAATACTATGCATTTTATATGTATTGCATTGTGTAATCTCAATCCTCTGGAAAACATGCATTCTAATTTCCATTTCCAAAGTGTTGAGAAAACACATTGAGATTCTGATTGGTTAAGCAACTTAACAAAGAAGTAGGAGACAGAACTAAAATTTGAAAGCAGCCTAAGCTTTGAACGTATCAGTTGTGATGAGAACCTTCTCCAAGTTATTGGTAAATTACTGGCACATTTCTGAGAATTCTGAATGACCTTTCAACAGAAGTTTACAGATATGTGTCAAAATTTTTCTATCTTTTTTAAATTTTTGTAATGAAACTGGGACAAGTTCCAAAATGGCCATAGGTCTGAAATATTTGGCCCTGAGAAACTAAAGAAAATCTGTGCCAACTCCTGCTCGAAGTTTTTTAGTCATACTTGTTCTTAGAGGGCTGATATTTTCTATTCCAGATGAAAGAAGAATTCTCAGGCATCTGATGACCAAAATATGGGAAAAAAGTTGTGATGGTGGTGATGTGTCTGCTACATGCATTTGGGAAGCTCACAGAACTCTAAATATTCACTTTTAATTCATTCCACCAGGGAGGAAGGGCCTGGGTTTCAGAGCCATTCATATATGGTTTCAAAATCCGACTTTGGCATTTATCTCTGTAAGAACTTGAGAAATTTACTTAGTCTCTCTGAGCTTTGGTGTATTCAGAATGAAGATGATACTAACAGTACGTACATCATGAATGTTACTTGAATGGAGATGTATAAAGTGCATTTTAAATTCATTTGGTTTCTTAACATGTTCCGGTCACTTCTTATCTTTTCAGAGTTTCTTCTTGAAGGTCTCAAGGTCTGAAGCATCCCACAGAATGATCCTACTGAATAACTCCCATAAGCTACTGGCCCTATACAAATCCTTGGCCAGGAGCATCCCTGAGTCCCTGAAGGTGAGGGAACCGTGGGAGGTCAGGGTATGGGAGTAGGGGTGTTGAGGATGAGAAAATAGCAAGCTTGTGATTCTGGTCCTTCCTGACTTTTTGCAAAGGGTTCGAGCTGGGAAACAGGATGGGGTTGGGGGCACAAGAGGCATATCAAGAGCTGCTGCTTCTCTTCGGGAAGAGGCAGCTAGGCCCGCTCAGCAGGTTTTGTCGCTCATTGGAGAGGCGGTGGAGAATGGTTGCTACGAACATGGTTTGGAGCCAGTCCGAATGGATACGCATTCCAAGGCTGCCATTTTCTAGTCGTATGGCTTTGTGGATGTTTCTTTCCCTTTCTCTGACTTTATGTTTGGTCTTTTCTTCAATGAAATAGGAATACGATTAGCACCTACCTCTTAAAGTTGCTGTGGGCACTGAATAAATCTGTACAATATAAGTGCTAAGAGCATTGCCAAGTGCCCAGCTAGTGCACAGTAGCTCTTTGGTATCACAAGGACACCTGCCTGTGAGTTCTGCCTGCTTGCTGGTATCTTCACATCCATCAATATGGTCCTGGAGATGCTGCTCATCTCACCATCACTGATGTGGTCCCAGTACCTTCTCTTAACCTCCATTTTTCTCTTCCTCTTCACATCCAGATCCCCATCTCTGGGGATCTCCACCTCGCCTAGTCCCTTTCATTCCTCCTTCAGGTTTACGGCTCTGTGTATCACATCAATCACGGGAACCCCTTCAACATGGAGGTGTTGGTGGACTCCTGGCCCGAATATCAGATGGTTATTATCCGACCTCAAAAACAGGTAGGCACACAGCCAGGGACTGGTGGATCCAGGCAGGTCCAGAGGACCTGAGGAACTGACCAGTTCAGACACCAGGGCTGCTTTTATAGGGTGAAAGGAAAAAGGAGTATTTTAAAACACTCCTTCAGTACTTGGCACCTTGCATAAGTGCCACGTGTTCCCACCCTTTCTGTAAAGCCTAAGACTCTTCTGGGAAAGGGGGTGGAGGGTGGAGGTGAGGAAAAGGAGAAGGCTGACATTCACAGATTAAGGGCCCTTTGAGGTGGCAGGGGTCACCTGCAGGGGCTGAAAAGAGGCCAATTTACAGGGAAGGTTGGGTGTCTGAGATATCAGAACAGTGACTTAGAAACAAAAACCAAAGCAGAAGTCTACCGGTAAAATTACCTCTCAGGGCCAGGCATGGTGTCTTCTACCTGTAATCCCAGCACTTTGGGAGGCCAAGGCAAGAGTATCACTTAAGCCCAGGAGTTTGAGACCAGCCTGTGCAGCATAGTGAGACCTCATCTCTACAGAAAATAAACAAAATTAGCAGGGCATGTGGTGCATGTTTATACTTCTAGCTACTCAGGAGGCTGAGGTGGGAGGATGGCTTGAGCCCCAGAAGGTGGAGGCTGCAGTGAGCCAAGATCACACTACTGTACTGAAGCCTGGGCAATAGAGTGAGACCCTGTTGTTTTTGTTTGGTTTTGTTTGGTTTTTAAAAAGTTACTTCTTAGGAGCCAGGGAAGGGGCTCATAATTACTGTGTGTCAACTATGTGAATGCATATCTTTTGTTAGTGAATGTTATCATCAGAACAATCTTATGAAGTGAGCATTAATATCTCCAATTTAGAGATAAGGAAACGACACTGAGAAATATTAAGTTATGCAACTGCTGGATTCCTGATGTTAAGGCATTGCCCAATCTGAATTCAAGTTCAGCGGACTCTGCCACTTTTACTCGCTATATAACCATAGGCCCTTCTCTGAGTTTCATTATCTGTTAAAATGGGGAAAATAAGAGGACCTTCTTCAGAGGATTACACAAGGTTTAAATGAGATACTGTATGTCAAACACTTAGTACATGGCACATAAATGTAAATAGTGTTTACCATAATTAGCTGTTATTGGTAAAAATACACCTAGGTTTAGTGAGGACACGCAAGGAATAAATGATTGAGCTGAAGTAATAATACAAACCTAGGTGTAATTTTTTCCTAAATACTTCCCCTTTGTGTATGTGTGTTTCATACACATCTGGTTAGTGAACTGAAGCCTTATTGCCAGCCCAGCTTCATGTGGGCATAAACCCTGGGGCCCCAAATAATAATAAGCCACACCAGGGCAAGACTAGTTTGCAAACTGGGTCAGGATTGGGATGCAGAAAGTGACAAAGTGACCCTAGCTTGAGGAACAAAGGGGTAAAGGGGATGGGAGGCTGAGCCTAACACCTTCCTTAGGGATGTTCTTTTGATCTCCTGGCTTCCTGACAATTTGGGATCAAAGATTAATGTTTAGTTTATTTAATCCATGGTCCAGTTTCTTCAAAGTGTGATATGCTAAATAACCTAAATAACAGTAGGAAGTCAAATAGTTCTTTTTACTTCAGTAACTTTGTAGTTATTATATGTATTTTAGCAATGCAACAATAGCATCAAGTCATAACTTCACATATGCGTTGCTTTGAATAAAGATAGATTTATAAAATGAGTCAATGAACAAAAATATGAAAATATAAAAGATCCACATCACACATATATGACCAAGAAAAAAAAAAAAAGGAAAGAATGAAATATGCTGCAATTTACTTGGAAATACATTCACCTAGTCTGATTCCATAGCATGCCACGTTTCTTTCAGTATTGAAAGTCAATCTGATTTTGAATAATAGCTTTTCAGGGTGGGATGCAGGAGAATTTATCTAGAAAAAAATTAATTTTTTCATTGCCGGTTTTTAATCACAAAGAAAATCTATGCTGATTATACAAGTAGAAAAATCCCACATGATTTTAAAAAGTTAATAACCTCTCACCTCCCCTTCTGTCCTCTTCTCCTTTCCTACCCCTTGGTGTAATCAGTGTCCTTGCCCATATTAATACACAGAGGGCTATTCACTGATGATCTCTTTTGTCATCACTTTTTAATTTGTCTTTAACATATGGACATCACTTTGGGTGAATTAATACAGCACTAACGTATTCGTTTTAACAACTGTGGCATTTCATACAGTCAATGCAATGGTATTTAGTCAATCATTCTCATGCTTTTGGGTTCAAATTGTTCATACTTCTTTGCCACTACAAACAAGCTTCAATAAACATCTTCATATACATATCTTTACATCCTGGAAATTTTTCTCAATACAATTGATTTCCAAAAGGGATATCTCCAAGTTAGAGTTTATCTTATTCTAAGCAGGCAATGCCAGATTACCTTCCCAAAGGATTCCAGAATTTTATTTTTATTAGCAATGTGTGGAAGAATTGTTTCCTCACATTCTCACCAGCACTGAATGTCATCCCTCTTTTTATGTATCCCAAACTAGTGAGTGAAAAATGGCATCTTATTGTAGATTTAATTTGCATTTCCCTAACTAGTGATATTGAACAAATTATATTTTCATGTTTGTCAGTCATTTGGTATTTACTCTTTACTTGTTTATATTCTTTGACCATTTTTACACGGGGGTTTTGTGTCATTCTTAAAATTTTGTAGGTGTTTTAGATACTAGGGATACTAAAAAAAGGTATATGCTACAAATTTGTTGCCCAATTTAGAATTGACTATAAGAAATTTTTTATTTTTGGCCGAGCGTGGTAGCTCATGCCTGTAATCCCAGCACTTTGGGAGGCCGAGGCAGGTGGATCATGAGGTCAGGAGATCAAGCCCATCCTGGCTAACACAGTGAAACCCCGTCTCTACTAAAAATACAAAAAATTAGCTGGGCGTGATGGCAGGCACCTGTAGTCCCAGCTACTCGGGAGGCTGAGGCAGGAGAATGGCGTGAACCCGGGAGGTGGAGCTTGCAGTGAGCCAAGATCGCGCCACTGCACTCCAGTCTGGGAGACACAGCGAGACTCCGTCTCAAAGAAAAAAAAAGAAAAAAAAAAAAGAAATTTTTTATTTTCATGTAATCAAATATATTATCTTTTTCAGCATGACTTCTGAGGTTTTGGGTTTTTTAAGTTAATAATTAGGAAGATTTTTCCTACTCCAAGATCATGGAAATACTTTCTTATTTTGTCTTGCAGTGAGTTAATTTTTACTTTTGACATTGCAAACTTCATTCTATTTGGAATATATTTTTGAATAGCATGAATTAACATTCTTTTATATTAATCTTCCTTCTGGCTGGCTGATTATGTTAGTACTATTTATTAAATAAGTCATTCCCTCCTGAAACATGAATGTCTGTTTTGTTGTATAACATGTTATATATTTTTGTATCTGTTTCTGTATTTTTTCTAGTCTTTTCTCATGCTATTTCATTGTTTTTTTGGATAAATTTTAATACCTAATAAAGCAAATCACCCTTCACCAGTCTTTTTTTGCTTTCCTATTTCTTATAAACTTAATAGCTATATGAACATAAACTAATTTTTCCAGTTCCCCGCCAACTACCCCAAATAACTATTGCAATTGTGATTGGTATTGGAGGAGCATTTTTCGACAATTTTGGAAGGATTAATAATTTCGTGATACTAAATTTTTTCATCAGGAAATATGGTCTTTTGTCACTTTTTTCAGTTTGTGTTCTATGCCATCTGGTAAAATGTTAGTGTTTTCCAGTGGAAAACTAAGTGATTTTTCCACTAAGTTTACCCTTAGGTATTTTATAGTATTTGTTAAGATTATCAAATTATTTTTCCTGTTATATTTCTGAGCATTATTATTTTGTTATTTCTTTGTTTTTGTATTCTTGATTTCCAAATATGTCACACTATTCTTTAAAACCCTGTTTGTGTGGGGCATTATTTGTTTTGTTTTTTGTCGAAGTCTCTTGGATTTTCTAAATGTGTAATACTCTGATCTACAAACAAAGTAATTTGCTACTTCTTTGCCAATATTTGTATGGGTTTTTAGTTTCTTGCCTTATTGCATAATATACAACCTAAGAAAACAATTCCAACTAACAATAATAGTATTTCTATACTTGTCTCATTCCTGATTTTAATGAAATAGCTATAAAAGCTTACATTTGGAATTACATTTGATTCTGTACTTACAGGTTTAGAGCATTTTTCTGTTGTTCCTACTTTCATAGAACTTATATTTAGAGTGGAGGGTAAATTTTATGTTATTTAATTTTTGTCTTTTCTATTTGGCAATATATGCACTCATGTAATTTTTTCTCCTTTAATTTATTACACTAAAAGATCTTCCAATTAAAGCCATTCTGGCCTTTCTAAAACCAACTGCTCATGTTCACATTCTTTTGTATATGCTATTGAATATTTTCTTCCTAATTTTTTAGAGAATATGGTCATAACTCTCTTTTTGTTATTTCCTTGCCAGATTTGGCATTAGGATCTTTTCATCTGTTACCAAAGTCTACTATTAAAATCATGTGTTTGTTTTTGACTTATGTAGAACTTAAATGTAAAATAATCTGATTTTGGCTACATTTTATTTTTTAATTTCAACATTCTTTTTAGATACAGGGGATACATGTGCAGATTTGTTACATGGGAATAATGCATGATGCTGAGTCTTAGAATACTGACAGATCCCATCACCCTGATATTGAGCATAGTACCCAATAGGCAGTTTTCTAACTCAGCCCCTTTTCCTTCACCCTCTAGTAGTCCACAGTGCTATTGTTCCTACATTTATGTCCCTGTATGATCAATGCTTAGCTCCCAGTTATGAATGAGAGCATGTGATATTTGATTTTCTGTTACAGCAATAATATGCTTAGAATTATTGCACTGTGGAAAGCAGTCTGGAAATTTCTTAGAGAACTTGAAACAGAGTTGCCATTCGACCCAGCAACACCTTTACTGGGTAAATACCCAAAAGAAAATGAATCATCCTACCAACATGACACATGCACTTGTATGTTCATTGCTACGCTGTTCACAATAGCAAAGACATGGAATCAACCCAGGTGCTCATCAAAGGTAGATTGTATGAAAAAAACTTGGTACATATATTTTTATGGAATACTACACAGCAATAGAAAAGAATAAATTCATGTCCTTTGTAGCAACATGGATGGCACTGGAGGCTGTAACTCTTGTCTACTTTTTAAAAGGTAGATGTTTAATTTAATTTTTGATATTTTCTATTAGTTTGTTGAGGATTTCTATTTTTATGAAAGTCAATTTTGATAGCTTATTCTTGAAGGATAACATCCATTTCTTTTATCAGTAAATATGTTGCCCTGGGGTAGTATGTAATCTTCTATTAGAAGTCTTTTGTTCTTTTCTCTGTTTCTTCTGTTTCTATTCTCATAGCTTATAGTCTATTTTTTTCTTTTTTCTATTTCTTTTGTATTTCTTTTAATAAATGCCTTACCAGAAGTTTCTCTCTCTCTTTCTTCTTTCTTTTTGCCATTTAAAAATGAGCTTTTGACATATATATCCTTTGCACTATGTCTTGTTCTCCATTTCATTATTTATAGCTTTCATTTTTATAAATTCTTCTGTTTGTTATTTTCTAATTTACTTGGATGTTCTTTTATATAATTCCTTGAATATTTACTTAGCTGTTTTTGGTCATTCTTTGAAAATCAGGTCTTTTAAAACATCTACTCTTTTAAATTCACTGAAGTGTTGGTTTTGGCCATATTCAGGAACTTGCATTTATAAAAGCACTCTCAGATTCTTGATGGTTTCTTTAAATTAGTTACACTATTTTCTCTTTCACTCTTTAACAATACAATTTCCAACATAATGTTAATACATTCACTGCTAAAACTCTCACACTTATTGTTTATATTTTCCCTGAGAAACAGATCCTCGTCTTCAAATGAAGTTTGTGGCTAGCCAGAGTGGGACCACAAGTCTCTTTCTTTCAAACCCTTGAGTCTAACACCACATAAATTACCCAGAGAGCTACCAAAAATTCAGTTACTTCATTCTATTTGGTGGACTTCTTGATGTAAAGCCAGTGTCACTCTTTGAATAGGCTGATATCCTGTAGCCTTGGGAAAAGGCAATGTTCCATTAATGTTTATATTCACTAAAGTATCTTGCTCAAGCCCTGGACACTGTAGTTCTAGGACACTATAGATTCTAGGTGTCTAGTGAAACAGTAGACACTAAAACTTAGAGAAATCACAGTTAAATTTATTTAGAGTCAAGTTTAAGGACTTAATTCTAACAACACAGACTCAGTACAACCCAGAACGTGTCCCACAGGAGGTTATGTGGGGGCACAGCATATATAACAGGAGTATCCGTTTGGCACAGGTGGTAAGAGAAGCAATTGTTGCATTTTTTTTATTCTGTTGGGTGCTCGGTGATGCCATATATAAAATAAGGTAGTGTGTAGTTGAGCGGGTAGGGAGAAAGGTGAGGCATCTTAAGGCCTGCTGGAGAGTGATTTTGTCCTGTCTTTGTTCTGTATGTGATAAGGAGGTTTATCACCAATACTTGTCAGTGTTTAAATATTTCCGGTTACACAGGTAAGAGGTCAGTAGTAGCTTATAGGCCTAGGTTTTATTATCCGTGTGCCCAACTGCAGCCATCATGGGCCACTGTTAAAATTTTCTTTTGAATTTTCATTTTTCTGAATTGCAATCAGTGAGAGGTGAAGAAAAAGTTCAAGGAAATGACCTGAACTTACACCGTCCTATACAGGAGATGACTGACGACATGGACTCATACACAAACGTGTATCATATGTTCTCCAAAGAGCCTCAAAAATCACAAGAAGTTTTGAAAAATTGTGAGATCATCAACTGGAAACAGAGATTCCAAATCCAAGGTAACAAGTCTGAAGAAATGGGCAACCAGCAGTGCTTCTCAAATTGAGTGTTCAACTAACAGCATTAGCATCACCTGAGAGCTCATTAGAAATGTAAATTCATAGAAACTCTGGGAGCTGGGAGACGTAGAGCAATCTGTGGTGTGACAAGGACTCCATCTGATTGTAGTGTAAACTCAAGTCTGAGAACTACTAAGCACTGAGCTATTAATCAGGTGAGAGCAGTGTAAGTAGAGAACTCCATGTCTGACAAGATTGCTTTCTTGCCTTTCTTCCCAGGTCTTCAGGAAAGTTTAGGTGAGGGGATAAGAGCGGCTGCATTTTCAAAGTCAGTGAAGGTAGAGCATTCGACAGCAGTCCTCTTGGTTACGGAAGATATTCTGAAGCTCAATGCCTCCAATGAAAGCAAGTTTCGAAGCTGTGCTGAGACAGGCCACCCAGATGATGACTTTGAAAGGTACAAAAACATATGCTAATCATTTATAATTGCTAGTCCTTATACATTTTTGTAATTCACAGAAATCAGGTTTGGAAAGAAGAGAGGATGAATTCATTCCTTTGGATGAATAAAGGTTGTCAAAGGTCAAAATATGCAACTTTGCAATGGTGTGTCTTTAGACAAGAAGAGGGCCTGGCATCTCTAGATTGGGATGACACCCAGAAATTACAGGGGTGAGGATGAAAGTTGTTATCTTTCTTTTTGTTTTCTACAGTGAAACTCCCAACTTTAAGTATGCCCAGCTGGCTGTCTCTTATTCCGGGCTGGTAAATGACAACTGGAAGCGAGGGGGGAATGAGAGGAGCCTGCGTTTCATCAAGCGCTGCATACAAGACCTGCCAGCAGCCTGTATGCTCGGCCCAGAGGGAGTCCCAGTCTCATGGGTAACCATGGACCCTTCTTGTGAAGTAGGAATGGCCTACAGCATGGAAAAATACCGAAGGACAGGCAACATGGCACGAGTGATGGTGCGATACATGAAATATCTGCATCAGAAGAATATTCCATTTTACCTCTCTGTGCGGGAAGAAAATGAACGCTCCCGCAGATTTGTGCAGCAGTTAGGTTTCTTTGAGGCCTCCTGTGAGTGGCACCAATGGATTTGCTATCCACAGAATCTAGTTCCATTTTAGACAATGAAGCTGCTTAGTAACCTCTGGCAAGCCATCTCTTAATATTAAAGCAGACACCACAGAATAGCTTTCTTCACTTACAAACGCACATTGTGCATTTATGATATGGCAGGAACTCTTCTCACATGGAGCCTTGATGTTAAAAGACACAGCCGTGCTCTTGAGGAGCTCACAGTCCAGGCTGGAGGCAGGGGAGGGTATAGTCTTTATGCTTAAGCGTTGTAGGGAAGGACAGGGTTACCAGAAAACATGTCACTAGAAAGCCAGGCTCAGTTCTTACCTCTGGGAATCAGAACTCTTTATGAAACTTGGTTAATAGAATCTACTATCTGGAAGATATATGAAGGATTTTAATAAAATCGTCAATAGAATATACCTAATCTATATGGATACTTTATTGGAAATGAATAGCCCTGCTATGTATGGATTTATGAGGCAATGGTACACTAAAGAACGGAATCTGTCTCTTAGTTCGGTGAGCAGAAATGTATCAAAGGTGAAGCCTGAGAGGAACAGCTTTCCCAGGCTATCTTTCATCATTGTTATGCAGAAAAAGAAACCAGAGAATCAAGTGGGCTGGCCTTGGGCCCTCTGCTAGGGAAACGACATTTGTTGTGTCTCCTTTCTCCTACTCTTTCTCATATCCTCATCATGATTGAAGCGTGGCACAGGGCAAGGTGTTGCCTGTGAGTCTGGTTATAAGTTCATTCTTTGGTGTTTGCAGCACTGCTATCATAAGGGGTCGGGGCATTCCGGGGAGCAGTGACCACTAAGGTGAGGATTGCAGAGTGAGTAGGAGTGAGCCAGACAAAAAAAGCAGAAAATGCAGATGATGGAAAGGACACGTGCCATGCGCTATCATAAGAACTTCCTAATTGAACACTGATATTACAATTCTGAATCCCTGATCTTAAAAAAAAATTACACTTCATGATCAAAACTTGGTCTCTTTTGGTTCCACTCTGCCACACTGCCATTGGAACTTGGATTACTGTGAACACTGCAGCTATAGCAAAAAAAAAAAAAAAAAGAAAAAAAAAGGCATTTTCATTCTTTCTGATAGTCTAGATTTAAAACAGAAAAGATATGTTAATAGAATTGGCTTTGGGAGTAAAGTCTGCCAGTATTAACAAACACCTATTCTCATCCCTCCATAAAAAAGAAAACCTCCACAAAATTGAATGTTTATATTTGATGTGATTTTAAAGTGCACAATTCCAGCAATTAAAGAATTGTGTAGGTCATGGAGCTTTTTAAAAAAACTTCATCTTAGAAGGCTGTGGTACATATGTTACAGGTTAGTGTGAATCAATCCAATCAGATTTCTAAACACCTAAGACCAGGCTGATTTGTTACATTGACTGAAATGAAAGCATGGTCTGAGAAAGAGAGGAAATGTACCATTTGGGATTCTTACATAAAAAATAAACTCGGGAACTTGGGGTAATATGAAAACAGCTATATTTTTCACTCAAGAAGCAAAAGCTAATACAGATGACGAAAGAAGACAAAGCAAATAAAATTTGCCTATTTCAAAATGGTGCCTTGGGCAGGTCCTGTATCTAGAAGAGGATGTTCATCCAGCAGGATCTGGGGCTCAGGTCATCTTAGCACAGCCCAGCTGGCAGCTTCCCTCCTCTGCCCCTTCCCTGAATGCAAGCCAGCTTCTCTTATCTAGCCCGTCATGGTCCTGTTAAGATAGTGATTCCTAAACCTTATCATGCACTTGGATTAAAAAAACAAGAAAGCATGGGAAAGAAGAAGGAGGATTTCTTAAATATGGCACAAATAAGTTCAAAATTATCAGTAAACACAATACAAATGAATGGGGTAATTTTTTAATTAAAACATATGTTTTTCATATTGAATTAAAAATAAAGTCCAAGAAGCATGCATTAATCTGCTCTGGCTGCCATAACAGAATTTCATAGACTGAATGGCTTACACAACAGAAATTGATTTCTCACTCTTTTGGAAACTGGGAAGGGATATGACAAGGTTCTGGTGAGGTAGGTTTCATTCTCAGTCCTCTTCTCTCAGCTTGTTGATGGCTGCTATCTCTCTGTGCCCTCACATGGTGTAGAGCAGGGCTCAGACTCTCTTCCTTTCCTTAGAATGACTTAATTTCATCATTGGGGCTCCACCCTCATGACATCATCTAAACTCAATTACTTCTGAAAGGCCTACCTCCAAATACTTTGGGAGTTGGGACTTCAACATATGAATTTGGGGCTCACTGTCAGTACATAATAAAGCACATCTGAAATAAAAACACAAGGGTTAAAAGAAAGGAAAAAGATGTACTAAATGAATTTGAAACTGAAAAAGCAAAGTAATGACATCAATACTAGGCAAAATATAACTTAAGATGAAAATCTGCTAAATACAGAATTCTCCCACAAGATAGGTCATGAAACTTTCTCACACACAACTACAAAATATATATAGCAAAAGCAGACAGACATACAAAAAGAAATAGGCAAATCCACAGTCTCAGTAGGAGAACTCAAAATACTTCCCTCAGAAAGCAACAGATGATGCAGACAACAAAGACAATTTGACAAAATGCCATTACGACTTCATATTTTGGTGATACTGGGCTTATCTGCTTATTGTGTATTTGAGAACTTCTGTTCATCTGTTTGTCAAACTGACCAGCAGGGGGTGCTGGGGAGGGAAAAAACTCCATCCGGTGAGTGCAGGCAACTTGCCTCTAAGTCTAGAGGCTCCTGGTCCCCCACGATCATCATCTGTCAGGGGCAAGCACTGCTGATACAGGAGCTAAAAACATAAATTATTTAGCAGTTAGTGTGGGTAAGGGAGTCCTCGGTAAGGTTTTCCTTTTAATATAAAAGCAGCCCCCATCTAATTTTCTTTTTTTTTCCAACAATAATCAGCCTGAAAAATCAAGCTGCATGCATAGATAAGCAAGCTAAAAGCTTGCACAAGGCACAGTTGACTGCCAGCACCTATGCCAATAGAAAAGGGATACTTGGAAGCCAGGCATATTCAACATTGAGGCTTCCTCTTCCTTTTTTTTTTTTTTTTTTTTTTTTTTTTTTTTTTTTTTTTAAGACGGTGTCTCGCTCTGTTGCCCATGCTGGAGTGGAGTGGCGTGGCGCGATGTCGGCTCACTGCAACCTCCGCCTCCCAGGTTCAAGCAACTCTCTGCCTCAGCCTCCTGAGTAACTGGGATTTCAGGCGCCCACCAACAGGCCCGGTTAATTTTTTTTGTATTTTTTTTTTTGTGGAGACGAAGTTTCACCACCTTGGCCAAGCTAGTCTTGAACTCCTGACCTCGTGATCCACCCTTATCGCCCTCCGAAAGTCCTGTCATTACAGGAGTGAGCTACCGTGCCTTGCCTCCTCTTCCCTTTCTTTGTCTTCAAGTGTTCAGGCGACATGGCGCTGGCCAGGTAGAGACCCCATCTGCATAATAAAAGATTAGGGTGGGATGGCCAGCCTCTTCATGCATCACATAAATGGCACACCTGGTCCAACCAATCTGAGCCCTATGTAAATCAGACACTGCCTCATCAAGCTCATCTATAAAACCTACCATAACTCACCCAAAACCTAGAAACCCGCTCAGGCACCTTTCCAATGCATAGGGAACTCTCTCTTCTTTCTTTTGCCTATTAACCTTCCACTCTTAAACCCACTCCTTTTGTGTCTACATCTTCAATTTCCATATTGTGAGACAAAAAACCTCTGGCATTTACCCAAATGATTCTGCGTCACTGCCATCTCTAGCACAAGTGCCGAAAATGACCACTTTAGCCTGATGAGTGCCACGGCGGCTACCATGCTGCTTAGGACAAGCAAAGATAAGAAGATGGAGTCGGGAATGGTTTATCAGAGAAGCCGCAATAAAAGCATGTCCCAGGCAACTTTCCACTTCTTAACTTCTGTCATTTTCAAACTTAAAGGTGTTTATTTTTGTGTGTTTGTTGTTGTTCTTTTTGTTGTTTTTAACAGTTTCTATCAAAGACTTCTCATGGTTTTCTTGCTATGACATATTTATCGTTTCTTCTAAAGTCCTTTCCAACATTTCCTACAGGAACTTAAAAGACATGTGTTTGGTTCACACCTTGATCCCCTCTCCACCTAAAATTCTTTTTACTTTCTCCCAGGAAGATTCCACCCCTCCTATTCTGCCAGTTCCCTCATATTTGCCTCAAACGGTTACCCCTGTAGGCAGATGAACTGGGGCGATTCTACTTTACTATGGACACCAGCTCCTCTGAAATAACATCTGAGTCTTGGGATGTGCATATGAATCTTCCCTTGACGCAGCAAACAGTCTTTCCTTTTACCCTTCACTAAAGGCATCCACTTGGGAGAATGGACAGCACTAAAATTCCACAGATTTCAAAAACCAAACGTGCTGTGCCTTTCTAGAGATCTTGGAATGAAGATGAGAAAGTAGGTTAGAAGGGATAATTTCCTCCTTCCTTTGTCAATGTGAAGGACCTCCTATTTTTAAAGGGAAAAATTGGGGACAGTCCAAAAGAAACTCTTGGAAATCAAGCCTTGCCATGCCACCACGAGAAGGGTAACCTGTGTGCCCAGGGGTGAAATTTTTAAATTTTTGTAATGGTGTTCAGGGTCACCCCTATGGATAACAAAAATATTAAAAAACCTATACCTGTGCCAACCTTTCAGAACCATGTCCCTTCGCAAGGACCTACCAGGGCTTAGAGATCATAGCACCACACTGGCAGCCTACAGGCAATCTCCAAAGGCTCCCATCTGCCCCAACCAACCAACACACACACACACACACACACACACACACACACACACACACACACACACACACCCTCCTGCTATTCTTTGGCCCTAGATCTCACCTAATGTATTCTACATCTTAATCTCCCTGTGCCTTCAAACTCATGTGTTGTAGAGTCTTGATAATCGCTTTTTAAGGATATTCCCTGAGTTCATCAAAGCTACTTATGAGACATATATCTAAGGTAAAACTTTTCATTTCAGCCCAGATCAGCACCCTTTTTATTAGAATTACAAACACTGAACTTCTTAGTTGCTGGGAAAATATATTGAAAAGGAATTATTATGCTTGTATAGCAATAAATTATCTCTGGAAAAGTACTGAGTGTCCAGAGAATGAGTGAAAATTGTTTCCCCTATATACATTTTTTTCTTTTGAAAAGTATATCCTGTGTATATTCAAAAGATAATGTTTTATAACTGGGGAAATTGCCTCCACTGTGGACTCTTATTAATTCACTTATCCACCAAGTTCTCTTATTTACTGACTTATCCATCGTATTCCCTTATTTACTTTTTATTCAATCACTAGTATTTGTTTCTATTGCTCATAATTGAACACAAATTTCTTTACTACTACATAAAACAA